CATACAAGATCATGCAGGTTGAAAGCTATTGTCTTTGGAAGGGGAACAAGCAATGAGGACAGACAAATGGCAAGTGAACCTACTGGTGGTCCTGAGTCAGGTAGTGACCACCATGATCAGACAGACCTGGAACAGAAGGATGGAATGACAAAAAAAATAAGGGTAGCCTTTGTAGCATGACATGTTTCCTTAGGCCCTTCGTGACACCCTGGTAAACTCACAGGGGCATAAAGTTTGAATTAAGTAAAAAATTATCACCAAAAACAAACCTAAATAAGGTTTCTACCTTCATTTTGCCTTCATCAATTCAAAATCACTTGTTTTTGACTTCACACATATGAACAATGCATTAGTAGTTTTCCCCTAAGATGATGTTAAATAGCACCTCTCTCACCTGGATTATAACAGATCCCCCAGTTACTTCCCAGGGCCCTGAAGGCTGCTCATGCTCAGAATACTGATGCTTTCCTGTGGGCTACCAATTTCATGTGAGTGACTAAACTGGGATAACCAGTGTGGAATCACTGTGTTCATAATATTTCTGTTCCCTTTACTGCTTTAACCCATTCTTGAGTCAGATTCTACCCATATTTGAATATGGATATTTTGAGAGTTTTAAATGTTTTGTCCAAGACAATGACACAGGATGAATTTGATCTACTGCCCATTGGTGCTGCAATGTGTGTCTACTACCCCACCCTTGTGTTTTTTCAGAAGTGCCCTACCAGAAAGACTGGACTCTTATGCATAATGATGACACCGGTAAGAGTAACTCAGCAGTTCCTGAGAAAAGTAGAGCCTCTTCTCACTTATAAATAGAAGGTTTTGCACTGGAAAATGATGCCAGATACACAGAAATTCCACAGCCCCGAAACATGATCACTGTGGCTATCCAGTATTCCATGTGTGTCACACAAATGTTTTTTCAGTAGTTTTGGGGCTCAAATCCAGCGCACTGTGCACATTAGACAAATGCTGTAACATTGAGCTGAAACCAAAAGAAAACCAGAGCTTTCACACTGAATTAAATCTCCAGAACAGTTTAGCTTTTATTTTTGGACAGTTCAGACACTGTCTCAGCATGTCACTAATGTTCCCAAGTTAAACTTCCACTTGCGATCCTCCTAACTTGGATTCACAGAGAGCTCTTTGTTATTCTCTCTGAAAAATAGCTCATTCCCTCCAGCCCAAGCCCAGAACCCATAAACCCTTGACTGGGCCAAACTATGAAAGCTTTGCTATATTTGTCCCAGGAGGTCTCTATCACCTCCTGGTCAAAAGATGCAATTTTCAGATATTATTCCCACTGTCTGCCATGGGGGACAGAAAAGCTAAGATGAAACTCCAGGGGTAGTAGATTTCAGCCAGAAAAAGGAAAGCAGAGGAGGGGGAGAGAAATCTCCCCTTTCAGGGTCCTTAAGGAAAATCCTCCCAGGCATCACCCACTGCATGCCTCTTACAGCCCCAAGGCCCGCCTCTACCCAAACATTCCACCAGTCATTCCACTGGAACTGCTCTGGCCCACAGGCCCAGTCTCCACAGATATCTGATTAAAGATGTGCTGAGCCCTCTCCTTAAAATGTCAAAGTAAGTTCTCACTCATAGCTGTCTGTGCTTCTGGTTCAAGGGACCTTAATTATTCCTGTGGTCTTTGGAGACATAGGCTCAAATGGCAGCAGCTCAGATACAATAGTGACCAGTGCTGTGAGTCACTGCATACTGGAAACATGCTGCCCTCTTCAGTGTCTCCAGAGAGAGTCAGCGGTGCAGATGACCTGCTGGAGTCACACAGCTGCACTCT